AGAAAAAAAAAAAAAACTAAACAAGATTTGTCTGAGCATTACATCCGAATTCCTTACCAAATTTGAAATAAAAATAAAATACGGAAAATAAATACTAAAAAAAAATTAAAAAAAAATTAGTGAGTGCGCGAGCATGTTTTTGACACCGCCATCTTTGGCGATTTTTGTTTGGAGAAAATTTACAAATGTGTACTTTACATAATACAAAACCCACTAAAAAATTTTCAAAAAATAATAAAATTGTTTAGACCCCAAACTAAAGTGAAAACAAAAAGTTAAAAGTGAAAAAATACGTGGGCGAGCACGTTTTGACACCGCCATCTTTGGCGATTTTTAATTCTTATTTGGATTTGCTAAATGACTCGAAAATTTACGGGCAGGTACCTCATGTCATAGAGAGCTCACAGAAAAAAAAATCAGAAAAAAATAATTATTTTTAGGTCCCGAAATAGTTTTTGGTGGGGGCCGCAAGGTTCGTCATTGTTCCACCTTTAATCTTTGTGACTCTTCTTCATCCTACAAGAGTCATCGATTTTCGTTTTAATAGAAAAATAATTTTATATTTGTAGTGAATACCTTTGTGATGACAATTTGTTATTTTATGAATAAACCACTAACACTTAACTTTATCATGCGTTGTGATTATGTTGGTTATATAAGAAAAATCGGTGGACAATCAGTAGAGGTTTATTCCCACATGAATCATACTTTTTGTGGTCGGGTAAAAATTAGAAGCAGAAAAATGAGGTTCAAAGAATTTTAACGATAAAATCAATTAATTATTCTCTGAAGTTTTTGAAAAGGCTTACATGACATATATTACTATTTATTTATTTATATGTTTAACCTTTTATGATTGTCAAGTCGAAGGCTGCGTAAGGAATCAATATGTAACTTGGTCATACAAGAGGTTTCGCTATATATATATGGGTTGCAACATCTATCGAACTTTGAACCTTTTCAAGTTTCTTATACTACATGATCCTCATCTTACTTATGGGGGGGTGACAATTTTTCAACCTTAAATCCTTGTTACCCTTCTCAATCATACTCCAACAAAATGAATAAACTTTCGTGTTAACAAAGAGTTGTTTTTATACTAAACATGTCAATCTTAAATAAACCTTGGTATGCTTTGAACCCTTGTTAATTAACGTTGGGGTTGTAACTTACATGGCAAAATGAATTAGTGATCAGTAAAGGTTTATCCCAAATCAAATATTTTTTTTATATTAGGCAACACGCATGAGGATGGGGAGGTTTTAAGGCATTGACGGCTAAACGAAGAAAACGTTTTATAGTTCTTTCAAATTTTTGCGAAGATATAAGATTTGACGATTCTTTGCCTACTTTAGTCATTTTATTTATTATACTCATTTATCACATCAAAAAATTATTGGGAGTTTGACTAAGTAATAATTTTAAATCAATCAAAAAATATTTATCAAAATTTTATATTTATTGTTCACTCATGATTTTGTTTTTAATAAACTTATGGGCCACCAACCGAGCCGCCCGGTCCTGGGTCTGTCTCTTATACACATCTAGATGTGTATAAGAGACAGCACAACGGGCGGATGATGGTCATGCAGTGGCATGCACACAGAACGGCGGCGGGTACAACCATGACGGGCTGCCAATTTCCAGGGGGGAACTCCCTGAGGCGAGGCTCGAGCCTTCCAATTTCAAAGTCGGGAGGCTATTTCTCGAAATATTTTTCTCGCCGTTCGCGCCAGGAAAAGAAATTGCGCCTAAGAAAAAACAGCTTCACCGGTCTGCATATTTCCTGGGAAGAAGAGAAGCAAGGGGAAGGGGAGGGGATGTGGATATTACGTACGGTTACCCGGCAGAATTGCTTACGGGCCCATACCCATCTGATTCTTTTTGTTACCACTCTAGAACGACCGTACCCGTGCGTTTTTGTTTCTTGGCCGCCCATATCTGCGGTTTTTCCCTTTTAACCGCCAGTACCTGCCCATGCCTGCCTGTGATCGCCATGCAGTGCAACTGTGCCTGCCCTGAAATCCACAATAAAATTTATGCCTGCCCATACTGGTGCCCCCCTTTGGAAGGGTACCCGTTCGTGCCCA